TACTGCTGCTGATAAACGAAATTGATTCATAAGAACATCCCATACCCCACCAATACTGTGCGTGCTTTTTAAATGGTCTAGTCCACCTATGCAAGTGTTTCCATGAAGTCAAAGAACAGCCCCCTGCAAGGAATAAGGGTTTTTTTGGTTCTTTTTGTTTGTTTGCTTGGGTTTTTCTATAAAAATGATAACCTCACACTGAAACAGATTTGTTCTTAATAAGATTAACTGGAGTGAAAAAAGAGCCTGTTTTCAGGCAGTGTTTCTGAAAGGGAGGGAGAGAGTGAGTCAGTACAGATGAGAGGTGGTTTATACATACAGACATCCAGAGGAAAAAAAAATTACAGAAAAATTTGTTTACAGATCTGAGGTTGACACTGCCTACAGGTTAATAGTCTAGAAGAGAATCAGTGTCTGAGGGTGACCAGTCTTTCAAAATTCTCCGATCTGATATAACCCTTCCAGCGAGCTAGAGCTAGATGTCTGCGTACTCGCCCCTTGGGGACTCGTACACTAGTCCTGACCTTGAATGGACACCAGCTGGCCTGGCAAATGCTCCTGCCACCAGATCCAAAATAGCCTGGACGATATACCCTGTGTGTGGTTCGCAATTAGCGTTGCCACTTGACAAGGAGTAACGACTCCTCTAGTTTGCGTTGCAGTTGATGGGCACAAACAAAAAGCTTCCCATGATCTGCTGGAGCAGTACCCAACCGAGCAGGAAGAATCTGGAGGGAAGCTTTAATAGGCCATTGAAGAAAACTGTGATGAGCTAAGTATGAAACAGCAATAGAAATAATAGTGGAAGATTGCAAAACAAGGACATAAGGCCTAATGTATGAGAAGATTTGCCAGTTGGAAGCAGGAAGGAGCTAACTCAGAAAGAGATGACAACACAATTCTTAGATCAGTGAGTCAGATAAAAATACCAGGTTCTCATTGTCTTTAGGCTGTGATACATTTAGTTTCATTGCATATCTAGCGGTGCTGCCCCACTGTTTCATTGTGCTCCTTGCTTGTTCTCAACCAAGAGCAACACACTGTGCCACCAGCTCCTGCACCCCACCAATGAAAGGAGACCCACAAACCCACACTCAGGCAGAGACAGACTGCCGATCGCTTTATCTTCTCCTCCTCTTTCCATAACCTGTAAGATACACCTCCATAACCTAAGTCTGAAGTTTTAAGAACTGGACATCATGCCACTAAGCACTGTGGACAGGCTGGGAAGCAACACCTCCCCAAAGAGCATCATCTCCAGTTCAGAGGTTCTGCTTCACTCTTGGTACAACCTCACCCTGCTACAGGGGCAGGGAAGCCATCAGCACTAAAGGGCACTGAACAAAGCCCAGATAGAAGATGGTGCAAAGTTTCCAATTCCTACATTTACCACATATAGAAAAAAAAAAGGGACTTGTGGTTACAGAGAGAAATCAAGGAAGATGCGCCGTCAACTTTTTTCTAATTGCCTGAACCTCTGGATATATTTCTTCCCTTTGCGTCGTTAAGATCTTGCATAAACCATTGAGGCTACTGAAAACACACTATTCCTCTCAAAATACATCTTGCATAAACCATTGAGGCTACTGAAAACACACTATTCCTCTCAAAATAACCAAAAAGCCAGCCAAAACATGAATTTGGACAGCTATACAAGGCACTTCCCAATCAGGATCCATCCAGGTTTTAAAGAGTACCAGCCGCACCAGCTGCTGAATAATGGCTAATTAAGATACAGTATCTGGCACTCCCAGAAACCCCTCTATGCGCCCAAAGCCAATCTTAGAGAAAGACATTTCCGTCTTTAGAAAAGGAGCCTTTAGTCTCTTTGAAAATTTCTGAGATTTGAGGTAAGAAATGCACACAGACAGAAGGGAGCAAAATTAGCAGCTGGAAGCTGAGCCCTTCAGACAAGCTGGCAGAAGAGATCACATACTTATTCTCAACAAACATCTAACTGCAGAAGATCTGTTGCTTGGAAGGAGGTCGTTTTCCAAGTTATATATGAGAGGTGTCCCTGCTATTTGTGCTTTGAGATTAAGAAAGAAATCATGTAACGTTTGAACACTTCCTCATTTATTCTATTCATATTTTTATTTCCTTTGACTCAACCTCTGCAAAAGTCATTTTGCCACTGACTAACACGAGGGAGAGAAACACGTGCCAGGAGACAGAGGCAAGCACCAGGCTGGTCCTTCCACAGGCAGAAACCTGATAACCAGAGACTTAACTAGGCTCATGTTTTATGTCCTTCAGCATATTCGATTAGCATCGGATGACGCAGAAGGTGGGACATGAGGAACGTAGGCTGTTACAGCAAGGCTCCTAGGTCTGCTCTGGGATTTGCTTCTCAAATGATTTATATAGTTCATAAGAGTTCTTCTTATTTAATAAGCATTTCACTGAACAGCCTATATGGTAAATTGACTGACCAGAAAGAATCAGTGCAGAATTCTGTCCTGCATAAAACAAGAATCACATCAGTAACATCTATAAGGCTATTCTCAGCTGGCAGCATTGCAATAAGAAAAAACACAAATGTGCTTTCCATCTGTAGAAAACATTCTTCTCACAATCTGGATATATGAAACATTTAACAATAGTCATGCAAAAAATGTTATTAAAATAAATATCCACTATTCCTTCTGCATTCAGAAAAGAGTTTTAGTGGTTGAAGTTATGCCCTTCCAGCTGCATGGGCAAATATGGTATCTTCCATCCTGTCACTAACAGATGTTCACTATGATGATGATTTACAGTGGCCACACTTAATGAGTAAGATTGCATCGTGAAGAATGCAATGTTTCCCTATCAACTTGGTAAAGTAACTGGTGAGGCTAAAATGGGATTTACAAGCCAAACGGTTTGAGATAAGAACAAAACAATTCACTTTGTTCAAAAAAATCATTCTGTTTGCTTTTTCTAGGACACCTCAATACAAGTTAAGTTTTCACAGTTCTACAACAGCAGAGATGCAAGACAACTGCTTTCCAAGTCACCCTTAGCACTTCCAGTAGCAAATACTCCTGCAGATAAGTACGTGCCTCAGGGTTTGATTTGCCTCTTAAGCATGAAAGTTGGTGAAACTGTTTCTGTCCTTTTTAGGTTGTTAATTCAGAGGTATTTTAAGGGTTAGAAAGTGAGTATCAATTAAAAATAAATCCAAAAGCAATTCTTAGGAGCGGAGCAGATCATACTTTTAACAACAGCCTTTACAGAAATCTAACGTTTGTGTTTCTTGCATTTCAAACAGTGATATTCCAACTGGTAAACCCAATTACATATTCTGTAATACATTAGGTGTCAGTTGCCCAAACTGACCATTTCATTACGGGTTTTAAACTGTCCCATTTTTTCAAGGAAGCCTGAAACTTTACATCTCATAATATTTACTTACAGTTCCTTCTGTGTCCTCCCCTTGCCTCCCCCCTGCTGTACTGCTTCTGAATGGTGCTGAGCAATCTGCTGTTTTGTTTTTTTATTAATACTTCAGTAGCTTTTCGCTGAACAGAGAGAGTCTAAAAATCAGGAGGCAAGACCACAAATCCCAGTTTCTCTAAGTATATCCAGGCTAGTTACTTAACAACATTGTTACCCTAAGGAACAGAAAGCTATTCTTAGAGAAACTGCATAGAAGTTACAGAAACATTTACTGTTTGTTTCTAAAAACTATTCATTGAACAGTTGGACAGATAACAACACAAGAACAAAAAAATATTCACTATGTTAATTTTCTAGTGATAAACCTGCCCCATCATTTTGGATTATTTCTCTACGATTTGCATTTCCTCATTAGATACAAAATTCAAAAACAAATCAAATCCTGTTTTAAGTACTCCCATTTCTTTTACTCTCTCAAAAATGACTACTCCATTGTCTTGCCTCTGATCATTTAGACATTATACTAATAAGTTACTTCTGGATTCAACTCCAGAGAGGGGCACAAAGCTACAAAGACTGAGGCTTGTTAGTGCTACCATTGGACAAAATCCTAGCAAAGAAGGAAAACTGTGTCTATTGTTTTTCATTATTAGGATGGACAAAAAATATTCCCAAGGTTTACACTATGGAAAACAATCCTTTCAGCTATGAATCTGAAGCAACCCACACACAAAACTGCAAAATGTTTTTTAGAAATCCTTTTTAGTGGATTAAAGTCATACATCTTATATATGGTTAGTTTTGCAAGCAATGGAAAAAAACCCAGTATTTAATTTAAGGATTGTTAGCTTCAACTCAAATTATTACCTCTTCTGGAACAGAGATATAAGTATATTCATTTATTTTCTTAATGCTTTTACATTGCTGCTTCTAAAACAAAGTTTTCAGGACAAGGTATGCTAGACAATATGTAATCGGCATAATATTTTTAGCCTGTATGTGATAAAAAGATGCTAAATACTATGAGAAGCTCAGGGCTATCCCAGTACCATGAGAAGCCAGGAAATATTTTGGATCTCCCTTTGAACTTTTAAAAATTAAAGGCTAATCTCCTTTTTTTAAAAGGGAGATTGCTTAAAGCTTTCTGCAGCAGATAGAATCTTTACTAGACGAACTACATCTGTTCATCACAACATTTAGTCAGCCACACTGATCACCTCGTAACAAAACGTAACAAATCTGGGTGAAGGTTAAAAAGGGATTATTCCGACTTCAGCCCTTGCACAGGCACATTTCAGTGTGAGCTCCCCGAGTTCAACGGGGGCTTGTGCTCAGCCCCCCTTCCCAGCCCATGCCCTCATCTAATTGCCATTTCTGTACCCTCTGGTCCTGCAGAACTCCCCTTACCTTCCTTTGTGTTAAGGCACTAAAGGCAGTAATTTACGTCTAATTAACGGAACTGAGTCATAACGGGAGCCGGCTTTCTTTTACCCGACTTGAATGTTAAGTGTCCAAAATAACCAGTGAAACCCGGCTTTTAGTCCTGCTCCCTGTGAAGCTCCTGCAGCACAAAGCTGTTATTGAGGCCCCCCGGCTCTGGAGGGTCGGGGGTTACTCACACTGACAAATGCTGAAGATGGCACGCACAGAAGGGTTGCGCTGCCCCCCACCAGCTTTCACGGTCACGGTGAGACAAGCTCATCCTTCAGGACCTGTCCAGTTTTCTCTCCCAGCTTTGAGAGGACATCCCCTTTCCCGCTGGCTGAAGGTGACGATGCTCTTCAGGAGAGAGCGATTTCCGTGGTGAAGAGGTAAAAGGTGTGAGGAAAGGCAGGAGGCAGGCACACAAAGGGTTGTGCATCTACCCAAAGGCAAGCAAGGTAAAGCACTTCTGCTGCTGATCTGAGATGGGCCACCTCGAGGTGGTCAGGAGGTAAACCAAGGCTATCAAAGAAACCAACAAAAGCACGCACGTAAATCGTAACAAGCAAAGAAACTGAGCTTCTCCCTCCAAAAAAGATGAAACTGTTGCTGATACAGTGAATGGAACCACAATAACACAAAACAAATAGAATGTTTAAAGATACTGACCAGTCATCCCAAAAGATAGACCAAGTTCTTCTTCTGAACTACTGTTATTTTCATCATTGTGTTTTAAGTAATGTAAATAAGGCTGATCATGCACATATTATACAAATACAAATACATTACTATAAGGAGGAAGAGAAAAAACAGCCTAAACAGGACCAGGTAGACCTTGGACAGCTTCCTTCTCCCATGTCCACAAGAGGTACCAGAACTTAGGAAGTGAAGAAGTCAAACAGGCCCTTCCACCTGTATAGCACAGATTCCCACGCCCCCCTGCCCCCAAAATCCACTCAACTATGGATGGAAACTGAAAATTTCAGATCCAGAAAACAGAAAATTACAAATACAGACTCTTTGTATCAGACTATTTTGTGGGCCATCAAATGCGACAACGACTCAGAATCAGGAGGGTTGGAACTCGATCTTTGGGGTCGCTTCCAACCCAAACGACTCTAAGTATCTTTTTAATCATTCCCCATTAAAGTAATTTTATGTTTTAGTTGTAACATGAGATTTAAACACAATTTTTTCCAAACTGATTTTAAGAAGAGTATCTTCTTTAATGTTAAGCCACCATGCCTGATGTCAAGTGACATGTAAATAGTCATACATCCACCTACTCAATTTTTCCTGTAGTTCATCGAAAGTGCAAAGTTGTGACAGCAAAAATAAAACCTCAGACTAAAGTTATTAATATTGAAATCCTGTTAGTATGGAAACATTCAGAGATTAGACTTAGTGTCAGTATGGTCACCTTACCTGCAGCAACCTGCATTTCCATACATATTGTTGCCTCTAACTCTCCAGCCACCCTCTCAAAAAAATTGTCCTGGAGGAAAGAACAGCTTAAACAGACACCGTGTTTAGTTTTCAGCTGTTCTGACTTACCTCCCCACTCCCTCTGCATCACTCTTTTTTATGCAATCTTGTGCTAGCAAGACAAAATTATAGTTTTTATACTATGAAGTTAATGCAATATTATTTGCTGCATAAACTTTAAGGGTTTTTTTGGTTACAACAGACTGAATATTTTAAGTAAGAAATACACAGCTTTCCCCCCGCCCCGTGTTAGTCAAAATAACTGATGCATATTAAGCTAATAATCTAGTTGCTTGGTAAAAATATTTAAATTGCTTAATAGAAAGAAAAAGTGATTATTTTTCAATTGGTTAAAAGCACCATTTGTTGAAACTGAATTACATTAAAAGCACTTTTAATTTTACAATCACATGAAAAGAAAAAACAACGTACATTTAAAAAATCATGCTTGTCAAGCATTCATTTTGTTAATGTACTACTCTATTCCTCCATGTTAATGGCTTATTACATGCAGTTTTCAAAGAAATTTACCATATAAAGAAAACAATTTAAGTACATCACACTATATTAAAACTAATGTTAATTTGTAAAAAGTACTAGTAATGAAGTAAGCTCATAAGTGGAATTGCTTTCAGAAGCAATACAAGTTCTCAATCAATTAAAGAATTGGTTAATCAAACATGAATATTCTTAGTAAAATTACTGTAATCTCTTTAAACCCCACCACAGAAAGCAAGGTATGTAGTTTTCCATTTACTCCCCGCCCCATATTACTTTTCTTCAAAAAAAAACATAGGAAAAAACCCAACATATCAAGAACCACATATCGTGAATTTGTCAAGAATCCTCTTCCTCTTTCTTCAGTCAATCCAGTTCTGCTCCTTTAAAACTGAGTCAAATGGATTTGCAAAGGTTGATTATCGTCATTCGCATGTAAAATGCATTTTTACCAGAGGAGTACACAGGGCAGATAAAAAGACAAGGAGGTGGGCAACTGCTAATAAATACATAAACCAAACAAGAAAAACTATTTCCATAATCATTTTCTCCCAGTAATCCAGATGAGCACACAACCAGAGGACAGAACCGGTGATCTGCTGATGAGCGCTTTGTTTGCTAAGGCTGATGTGTACCACGTTTTCTCAGAAGTTCCCAGAGCACAGTTGCCAGGAAAAGGTATTTTTGAAACAGCATACGCAGTGTTTCTATCCACAAAGCACAATGCAAGGTGCATTACGGGTTACATGAATCTTTCCCTGACAGAACAAATAAAAAGCCTGACCAAAGCTACGCAGAATTTTCTATTTCAGCATTTGCAAAGAACTTCAATAATATAAAATTTTGTTTCTTTAACATTCATTTTATTCACGTTATTTCCTACTCTTCCATTTTAACAATTTTTAACACCATTTATGCAAGTAAATTAATTATGAAAAGAGCCTTGGTTGAGTGACAATATATAAATGGATGACACTGTTGTGCTAAACTCAGATTGCTTCAACACGTGCTGCACTAGACCTGAGAGCATCCTATCTTCTCCTCCACTATGAAAACCGAATGTAAAAGCCTACTTCCTCATGAAGATAAAAGTTTAAGTGGGTATAATAAGAATTTACTCCTAAAATTTAGCAGTGGTGGTCAATGAAATTTTAATGCTAGACAAAGACGCCAGACAGGATTCATTTCTGCAATTTAAGTCTCAAATTTGTTTAATTTATGTGGCAATGTAGTCATCCATTTAGCAGCCTGCCAAAGCAAAACTTGCAAATCTACGGGAAATTCGATTTCAAGACAGGGATAAAGATGGCTGGAACACCCACCGCTAATGAACTGGCGTGCGTGTCCTCGCTCATGCGTGTTCTGTTTTGTTAATGGCCATCTCCCAACAGGAAGCCCTCCCCTTTCTCCTGCCTCTTCCAAACACCAGGTTCTTAATTCTCAGTTACTGGTTCCACCTTGTTAGAAACTCTATTCTTTACTCAGACATAAAAGCCCTTTTGTTCCTATTCTTAGAGAATGACCAACGGGAACAATAACAGCCACAAAAATTCAGGCCGGAGAAAACTCGTTTTAGGCCTTGTCTCTACAGAGGGTCTTTTTTTAATTGCTCGGTCAGGTTTTTCTTTTCATTCCTCCTGTTTGTGCACCAATGCAGCTGCACCGATGTCACGCTCACACAACGCAATGGATGCAGTATTTTACGGCCGTGCAAAACACACACATCACTATTACTACAACATTACAGGGGGACAGGATCTGCAACAAAACATCAATGTTATTTCCCACCCCGTAACTTTTTGCCTTTATAAGGTTTCTGTTTAGGAAACATACATAATTTCAACAAGATTAAATGCTTGAAAAAGGCTATCTGTTTGGTTTGGGGGTTTTTTGGCTTTTTTTTTTTTTTTGCGGTATTAGAATTTATCTTTGCATAATACAGCTTCAGCAGAAAATGTGCAAATGCTCTGAAGAGCAAAACTGTGGCTGACACATTTTACCATTTCTGGGAACAAGGAAATGCAGGCTTTTCCCCTACACAGCAAGATAATACCTTGCAGCTGTTTACATAGTCATAATAAATAAAGAGCCAATATCCAAGAGCTGGATATCAGATTCAACTTTAAAACATCACCTCTCGGGCCAAGGATAGTTAAATAGTAATAAATTTTGATCAAAAGAAGTTCACTATCACAGTTACATTTAAAAAAAATTAAATAAATATGGACTTTTTACCAATATCAACCCCAAATATTGCTTTAAAGGAGCTCATCTCAGGCTTTTATTAAGGTCATAATGATGACCACTGAGCCATCCAATCTTCTCTGCTTTGGGACTCCGACTTAAAATTGAAAAAAGTCTGAAATATAGCACTAAAGGCATTTAAAAATACATTACTTCAACACTTTGGGAAATGGTGAGTTGAAGGGCTGCCGTTTTGTTCCTTTTTTCATCTCTGAATAATCATACGAACAGAGACAAGCAAACCCTCTTTTCAGAAAGGCAACATATTGTTCCCTTCAGAGCAGAATTCACATCCCAGCACACATTTCTTTATGAGTGTGGACTCCACTGAATAACATTTTCTCAGTGCTGCCGACCACAGTATAAATCCTGGCTCACAATTAAAATGTCCCCCAGCTCCATCACAACAGCTACAATTCCTCATGTGACCCAGCGCAGAACAGCATTGGCATGTGCTGAAGGGGCAGCTTGGGCAGAAACGCCGCCTGTGTGACTGAGGTGGAGAAATATGCTGCATAATATATGGGTCTCCTTAGTGCTCATTTCAGGAGCAAAAATACACTCACAAAAAAAAAAGTAGTATTTAATTTAATTTTGGCCAAAATTAAGCATGACTTCAACCAGCATGAGAACAGGAACAGACTACAATAAACTCCTAAAATTGCCCAGCTCTTTTATAGGAGAAGAACCAGGATTCCAGAAAGATCCTTCTGTAGCTTACATTATTATTTGTTTGGGGTTTTTTTGAAGCATTTCAGAGTGCTGACTTCATTAGGTAAGCGAGTTTGCCTTGCTCTTAGGCAGACCAGTTATATACACTAGAATTTGGACTTTGCAACGCAAAGAACAGTCTAAACTTCTGCTGAGGGTTTCTATCTTTGCAATTCTTCAGTTCCCTGCGAATGTCACCACCTCCGTGCAGTCAGAGCAGAACAAAGGAGATGTGCCCATGACTGTTCTAAAAAGAGTAAAGAAACACCATCATCTTGACAATGCTGAACTTAAAACTACAAACTTTCAGAGAAACTGTACTGATTTATGCGGTCCACCATTTGCTATGTTTATTTCCCCACAGTTCTTTTCCTATCGTATCAACTATTTCGCCAAGCATTGAGTCTTTCAGTTATAAACATATACACTTATGCAGAAGTCAAGGCTTATGGATGAAATGATTTTAAATCTAACCAGCCATCATCTTGCTATAAGGGTTCATCGTATTCTGCATGTGGGAGTCCAAAAGAAAATAACCAGCTGGAAAAAGCCAAAACACAGCAAGTAAGTCGTGTATAAAAAAATATTTCCCATGAAAAGAGAATGGATGCGCTTGGAAATAAGTCTTCACTATCCTGAATGCTCTTTGTTGAACAGTATCTTTATGGATTATTTCAGCAATAAATATCCAGCATCTAACACCCAGGCAGTTTGTTCCAAGAGAGGAAAATACTTCAGATAGAACTGTGGTATCTGGCAATTTACATTAAGAAAAACCCAACCATTTCTTAATGATGAACACAACACTTAAAATTGTATTACCAACAGGGTTGTAAACTATTACACCACCCACTGAAGCTTGTCAGTGGGAAGACTACCTGTCAATGATTAGATGTTGTCATATACCTCTTTTAAGTCACAAAAAAAGAAACACAGGATTTGGAAAGAGGCACTGATTTCAGGAAGTGACAAATTCACAAAGAAGAGTTAGAATGACAACTTTTTTTCCCTTCTTGTTTTTTTTTTTTTCCCCTCCCCAATCCAGAAGCAAGTTTCCAGATGGGGAAAAAATGGGCAAAGTCATCATCTCTTTCCTCAAGGCATCCAAAAAGAGCTCGGAACACATGGAATCAAGCAGCTGATGGATTTTTTTTTTCCTTTTGTGAAGTCCTAAAACATTTTCCACTGGACATGTACCTCTCCATCTAACAAACTTAAGCCTCCTGATAGTGAAACTTCTTTTCTTAATACTTCTCCAGCAGACCTTCCAAGATATACAAACAGCAGACAGAAAACATAATAATTAAATAGCTATCTTCATTACAAGTGAGATCTAGAACTGACACAAGGCAGCTGGCTGTAGAGACAAGTTAGTCACAGCTACTCAATGCATTTCAAATCCTATTATATTTGGTTTTTTACTCTGCCGTAAGATATTTTCAAAAAAATTCTGCTATGCCCCCCCAAAAAATCTTGAGATTGAGAGATTTTTAACTATTATATAACAATTTCTGAAGGGCAATGATCCTTTTATTTGCTTCAGTTTGGAGATCTGTCTTTCCTCACTGGTGCTTGCTTAAACCCAGTAGGGGCAATGAAACTCAAAACACATATTTCTTAAAAGGCTGCTGTTAAATTTGAAAAAGCACATATTATTCGGGGGAAAGAAAAGATCATTCTTGCTTGCAGTGATCACTTGCAGACAGCTGCCAGATGGGACAATTCCCCAGACTGATTTGCTTTCCTATTCTGTTTCGGATACCCAGCTTTCCTAAATAATTTTAATTGTCTGACATAAAATGTCTGGCAGTAAGTCATACATACTACTTCTGTAACTTGTCATAAAAATTCTACTAGTTTTCACTAGAATAAGAATTGTCATCATTTACACATTTGTAACAATGTCCTTTCTGTCAACTGCTCCTTGATCTTTGTTTTTAAAAAAATAATTCAAACATATGAAGTGACTAAAGGTTACCAGGTCAAGAAAATATAGCTATAGGAGGACTTCAAACCTACAGCCTCTCTCATAACCAGAGTATGGCCAAGTTGCTATGCCTTCTTTAAATGATTTTTCCTCCACCAAAAAAAACCCCCTTACATCATTCATTGTGTCTACTTGACACTCGCCCTCCCTTTTAAGTCAACACAATAATACAGGAGAGGACTTTGCTTTTCTAATGACCTAGAGGAGAAAAAGAACATGGCGTTAAGCTGTTTGTCCAGGAAGCCTACAGGCAGTATAATTAGTGATAAAGGCTCAATCTACTCTATTATCTTCTCTTACTAGTGCTCCTGTCCAAGTTTAAGGAAAAGAAGAACACAGACAAACCAAAGGAAGTTAAGCAACAAACCTAAGGAGCCTGGCAAGAGCAATTAATACTGGAAGACTGAAGAGCTGAATGTACTGTATATCTTGGCTAAGTAACAAATGAGGGAGTCATGATCATTATCTGCAAAGTATTTGAAGGACACAGAACAGGCAGGGGGAGGAATTCTGTAAGGCTGCATAACCCATGAGGGTACCAGGAGGGCACCAGCCTGCTTAGATAAGGACAACGGAAGCAGAGCATCAGAAAAAGTCTTCAGTAAGAACCACCAGGCTTTTAAAGAAGTAGCACTTCCTTTGACTCTCTTAACTTCCAAAACCTTGCACCATCTCTGGA